GATTATTATAAGATTATTATAAGATTATTTTAAGATTATTTTAAGATTACTTTAAGATTACTTTAAGATAATTATAAAATAAGATTATTAAAAGATTATTATAAGATTATTATAAGATTATTATAAGTATTATAAGATTATTATAAGATATATTTTTAATAATTTTATTACAATCTTTAAGATTATAATAATTAAATGAAAAAAATTAGCTAGTTTCTGTAAAGTATCTTTAGAGATATTAAAATCTTCTAAAACAATAGTTTATAAATTAGCTATATTTGCTTGTTGTATCCATTATATAATAGTATTTTGTATTTGTAATCTTAGTTAAAGATTGTTATAGAATAAATATACTGAAATAATTCTAAACTTAAAGTTATACTTAAAGAAAATATCTATAACAATTGCATATTCTAGAAAATAAAAATTTTGTAAATATGAGGTTTAATCTAATTGTTGATCATAATAGCTATACCAGCTTTAGAACTACTAGTACAGGACTAGCAGTAAATAAAATATTTAAATTTTTGTAATTTGATAATAGGGTTTGTATTAGCTATTTTAGTTTTAGTAATACTGATAATTTTTAGATTATTGGAAAGACAAAAATCTTTCTAAACTTGTTGCTTAAGATCTTCATATATTATATATATATATAGATAAGTTGAGTGTTTAATTAAACTTAGAGTTGCTTGGGTAATTATTAGTAAATTGATTAGTATTAAATAAAGATGAAAAGAAAATAGATATATTTAATTGTGATTTTAAAGAAATATTATAAAAATTGTATATAGATAAACTGTAGTAATTAGAAAGTATTTTAAATTCATATAGTAGATATGCATATGCTTTCATTTTGTCACTGTTAATTATAATGAGAATATAGCTTGTAAAATGCTTAACATTGTTTTGTTTTAGATATTGCAAAAAAGAGTTGATAGTTTGAGGTTCTCTTAATAAAGGAAGTTAATAGTAAATAAGAAATTTGTTATAGCAAATATCTAAATTATAGAGGTTTGAAGATATTAGTGATGATTTAGAAAGTTATATTTCTTCTGTAAGGTTATTCGCTATTTTAAACTTGGTTCTCATAGCTGCACAAGTTTCCAAAATTTGTTTTATATATTGAGTCTGACTAATAACTTGGTCCTTCACATAAATAGATTTAACCATCATCTACTTACATCATTCTCTTTTGAAAAGAGCCACTAGAAGTAAAAGATATTATTATCTCAGAAGCAGTGGCTATATCAATGATATTTACAGAAGAGGTTATTGAAAAGAGCTATATGAAGTAGTATGTATAAATAAGTGCTAATTTTTTGACAGATTTGTATCTAGAGATGGGTTTTAAGATAACAAGTAGTTAGTATCTGATTCAGTTGTTTGATCTTCTAGATTTGAATCAATTATAATAATATCATTATCTGGATTAGTTTTTGAATTTTGGTTTGGAGATCTGTCTATTGTTCAAAGAAGATATAGATATTTTTAGTTCAGTAGTTTTGAGAGGATTGGAGAATGCATACAGCTCACCCCCAAAAAATTTCCCTGTCATGTGATGATCATCTTGATTATTTTCGGTTTCATGTAACATTATGTCATCGATTTTTTTTTTAAAAAAATTTGAGTACAAGACTACAATTTTTATTAATATATCGCACGAATTATTTTATTTTTAATATAGTACTAAATTTATTAAATAATTATTACGTACACGATTAAAATTTATAAAACATTGTTTGCTTATCACAATCTTTCTACGTTCTTGGTAATTTTTTTTGATTTTTTAATGCCTTACACTTAGTTAACATTTTCTCTATCCCATTTATTGCCTCTTCTGCCACTAATAAAAACCGTAGATCCTTATACTGCTCTTGACTCTTAAGTAAATCGGTCTATTGTTGAAGCTTTTGTGTGACACGATTGTTAACTTCTTCCCATGATTCGTCAACTTCCTCAAAAAAATCATCATTCTCACCTTCATATTCTTCAAGCGCATCTACAAGTTCGTCATAAGTCTCATTATTTAATTGTTCAACAAGATCTTCGTCAGCTTCGTTGGATTCTTCATTTTCAACTAACATATCTATATCAATTTCTTCTTCTAGCTCATAAGTTTCATTCTCCTCTACTGGTTCTAAACCTTGTACTAATGGAATCAGATTCTTATGTCTCCAGAACGACGGAGATCTGTAACGTTTAACTTCATTAAAGAAGTTGGGTTTTATTTGACAAACAGATTGCACCAGATGCTTACAGAGAAGAAAATGACTATCAAGGTAAGCTGGGCATGAGCAGGTCTACATTTTAGAATCAGTGGCATATGAATTACCGCTTAATGTTTTTTTTAAGCATGTTTTCCAATCGCGTTTAAAGACAGAGCGCCATGATGCCGTAGTTTTTGTTTTAGAATTTGATTTAAGATCTCACATCTTAATGATATAACGTGGAAAAAGATGTTCAACAAGAATCTATACTAATAAGTCAACATGTGGTTTATTAAATTTATTAATATAATTATGTTTAATAAGTCTCTAGTGTGACTCTACGATCATTGTTGTCTTTAATACAGAAATTTCTTTTTTTGCACTTCGTGCCCAGGTAAACCACTTCGATGAATTATACCACTCTACCCACAAATATGACCACACCTATTTAAGTTCATTATCTTTGCAGTATGTATATATTTCCCTAATAGTGGCTTCGTGAATTTGGTCAGATGAATAATACTGCATATTATCTGCAGGAATATAGGGATGTTGGTTAAAATGCTTTGTTACAAGATTGATAATATGGTTGTAATGTTCTGGGGGACAAAAGGTAAACGTTATTTTTTTATTTTGTGGTAATTTATTTATTTCATTTGCATTATTATTCTCACTATTGTCTGAGGCAATATTAGGATGAAAATCAATATCAATAAATGCAAATTTGGCATTTGCTGAATTTGCATGATATCGAGTTGTCTTTGGTTTTTTTTTTAACCCTAATTGCTTTTTTATTGCCCTTTTTAAATATCACAAACAAAGTTGAATGTAAGCATCTGGCCATATCGCTTTTACCGCTGAGATTTGTACAGTATCTTTGTCAGTCATAACAAAGGTTGGTTTAATTCTGACATGATACAACTTATTTAAAAAATGGGTAATCATTTTAGTGTAAACATCATCAATAATTGCAGTAGCCGTAGTTAACAACATATAGGCTAATGGAAATCCTATTCCATCTACTTCGGCAAGTATGGAATATAATTCGAGATTCATTTTATTAGTGTTATCTAAAATATTAATTATTAATAAAAATTTTTTTTGAAAAATTAATTTTATTATTAGTATTGCGGTTAATCTAAATTTTTTAGCTAGATAAAATTTGAAACTCTTTGAAACTTAGCAAACCGAATTTCTGGGGAGAACGCTATGGAACATTGTATGTGAATATAATTTTGGACAAGTAGCTCTTAATAGTTTCAAAGATTTCAAATTTGGCGAAATCAAAGCCCAAAGAGCAAGCATTTTGGGTTTGAGAAAAAATTTAGCAAACAGCACTGATATAATACATACACGTCGCATCTATGCCAATTTTAACTACATTTACTCCTAGTTGGTTAATAATATCCATGACTCCAAAGCTAATCATGGTAACTCCGCTATCTTCAACAGTTAGCAGTATTTCAATATCATCATATTGTTCAATAATTTTAATTGCTGACTGTATTTGATTTTCATCTTTTTTTCAAATATGCTGACTGAAGGTCATCCACCAATAGTATATCTGTTTCTCAGTAATATTTACGCTTCTTGTACCAAGATTTTCCCAAATGTTTTAAGGAGTTTGTTGAAGGTTTGTTTAAATATATTCTTTTATTTCATTCATAACACGTACATCAATGTATTCAGCATGATATTCATGAGTTAATTCAGTTGTAACTTGCAATTTTTCTATATCAACAGTGAGCATTAACCAGCCCCTGCAATGGAACTGTTGTATCGGTAAACGATCTCTATGCTTTGTAGGATCTTCATGTTTTTTGGATTTTTTTTGCCGGTCAAGCAATTGGGCACAATGATATCTAAAGGCTACAAGCTGATCCGATTTCCACGAGTGTTTATCTTTATAACTTTAAAATAATTAGTTTTTTATTTATAATTTTAATATAAAGTTTGCACGCTTTATACTAAACTAATAGTTTTTATAATAAATTTGACACATAAAGTTTAGTATAATGAGTGCTAATCATATTTTATTTATATTATTCTTACTTGAATTTAAAATTTATAGCCGTAAGGATGTTATCCGAAATATGTGATGCAATTTCTTTTGGATTAATTGGAGTTGCATATCTACTAATATCGATAATTTGCTTGAAGTTTTCTATAGTTCGATCTTTCATAGTTTTCAGAGTTTTGAAAAAGTCTTCTATCGTAATGTGAACGATACTTGCATCTGCCAGTGTATCCGCAACTGCACGTTTTTGTGCATTCTGTCTGTTTCTTCTATCTCTGCAAGTTGAACATGTTTTATTAATTTTGTCATTTTTCAAAAAATATTCAAGTGGGCGAGGTTGATTACAGTCAGTACAGGTTGGTTGTTCAGTGCTAAATTGGGATTCCATTTTTTGCAAGAAAAATTTATATAGATTTGATGATTTATTAACGAAATGAAGAACTATATTATCGATTATACAAAGATCTAATTCTAGATTATCTTGAAGGTCAAAAATCTAGCGCTTATATATATTTTCATCTTTAATTAATGTAGTATTGAAATTGATATCTAGTTTAATAACATATCGAATGCAAGCTAAGGTAAATAATATTTCAAAGAAGATGCTAAAGCCTGATTACCACTGTTTTATCTATACACTTATTAAAATCAATTGATGAAATTATATTCTGCCGATTTCTAGTTCAATAATGTAATGAATGTTTTAATCATATATTTTCTTTCATTTAATAAAATTATAGTTTAAC